AGGGTCTGAGAGGGGAAAAAATGGCATTTTACTCCACTCTTTATTGCACCTCAGTCCCTTCCACTGCTTCCCCCAAGTGAACTGGGCCTTTCTGGTGCTGATTCCCATGTGGGTGGGCTTGTGTGCATTCTAGGACCCTGTGGGTCTTACCAACGAACCTTCCTGTGAGGCTGGGAGTCTCTCCCGGCACCTCAACCCCCACAAGTGTTTTCAATCAGTGCTTTTAGGCTTTATTTTCCAGCGCTGGGGCCCTGGGTTGTGCAGTTTGTCTCACTGTCCATTTTCACCTGGTTTATCTGTGTGCAAATGTGGAACCTCGGTCAGCCAGCCTCCTTGCAACCTCACTGGGTTTGCTCATTGCCACCCTGTGCTGGGAGTCTGCGAGCCAAGCCATTGCCTGGGTGCCTGGGTCCACCAGCCACTGCTTTTTCCTGCCTGGACCCCTCTCCACCAGCCTCAGACTTTGCCCCTCTTACTGGTCTGGATGAATGGTTGTCGGACATCTGTACAGTTCAATTTTCTGTCAGTTCTGGTTGTTTTTTGTTTCTAAATTCTTGATGTTTTTAATTTTAGTTGTCTGAGGAGGCACAGTGTGTCTACCTACGCTGCATCTTGGCCAGAAATCTGAGACTATACTTAGATACAGTGTTTTTATCCATCAAATTATCAAAGATAGAAAGTGGCATGAATGTAAATTGGTACAATCTTTATGCAAGGCAGTTGGCAATATGTGTTACATTGCAAATGCACATATCCTTTGATCCATCAGTTCCGCTTCTATGAATATGCCGTATGGTCATGTGAACTGATATATGAAGGTTATTGTTTGCCTCATCGAAATAGTAAAGTATAAAAAATTATCTACATATCCACCATCATGGAAATGTTTGAATAAATGATTGCACATCTTTTCACGGATTATTTACAATGTCCCATGAAGAAAAGGAAAAAGCAAATCTTTATATACTAATGTGAAACAATTTCTGAGATATATTTTTATGAAAAGGAATTTACAATGCAAATCAATTGCTAAGCAATTTTGAAAAAGAACAAAGTTAGAGCACTACTTGATTTCAAGACTTAATATAGGTGATGGCCTTCCAGAGAGTGTTGTGCTGATAGACAGAACTGTAGCTACAGGGAACACAAAGGGAATTTGGAAATAACCCCACATATAATTATTAAATCTGTAATAAAAATGGGCACAATATTTAAACAAACACTTCACCAAAGAAGATATAGAGATGGCAAAGCACACATAAAAAGGTACTCAATATCTTTAATCACTATGGAAATGAAAATTAAAACTACAATGAAATACCACTTCACCAATGCCAAAATGGCTGAAATTGTCTAAAGATTGATTACACTAAGCAACAATGACAGCATGGAGAAACTGCAACTCTCAAACATTTCTGGATGGTGAGGCAACTTTTTAAGAAAAAAGTTTGACAATTTCTTATTTAGTTAAATGTAGATTTTCTAAAGACTGACCCAGCAAACCACTCCTAGGTACTTACCCAAGAAAGCTGAAAATGTGTCTACACAAAGGCTTGTACTTGAATGTTCATAGCAGCTTCATTCATAGTAACCCCAACGGGAAACAAACCCAGTGCCCATCAACAGGTCGATGGGTAGAGAGGTTATGGTGTGAATATACCATATACGACATACCATATACCATTGTATCCATGTATGATTGCACACTACACAGTGATAAAAAGAAACAGCCTTAGCGATACATACAACATGAACAGACTTTCTCTTGAATGAAGGAAATCAGATGCAAAAGAGTACATATTGTATGATTCTTTATTTATGTGAAGAGGCAGAACTAGTCTAGTTTTAGAAATCAGATAGTGGTAGCCTGAAATATGGGATGGGGTGATGGAATATGAGGTTTATTGAAATGATCACAAGGGAACATTTTGGGGTGTTGGTGAGTACATGGGTGTATATATATGTCAACAGTCATTAACCTCTATACTTAAAATGTATGAATTTTTTGTATATAAATTATACCTCAATAAAAGCAAGCTGTAGAATGTGTATAGATTTCTATTATTCTACTGTTTCATGTAATTATTTTTATATGTATGGAATCTCTCTGAACATATACATAAGAAAATAGTGATACCAGTTGGCTCCAGGCAGAAGAATTGATTGGCTGAATAAGGACTGTACTTCCTATGTCTTTTGAGATTTGTATTTTGTGGATATTTTAAAAGTGAAAATATTTTCAGTAGCTCCTCCTCCATTTTGTTTATTTTCTACTTCTGGAGTTCCTTTTTGATATATTTTGGAGCCACTCAGTGTATCCTCCTTGTCTCTTAATTGCTTTTTCATATTTTAAAATGTCATTCACCATTCTACTTTTGGATGACTTCCTCAGTACTACTTCCAATCTTTAATTTCCTTTTTAGCTATGTCCAGGCTAGAGTTTATACCATTTATTGATATTTTTAGAAATTGCAATGGCTATATTTTTGCTTCCAAGATTTTGAATTGGCGTTTTTCTTGTCCATCTGTTCTTTTTTAGTTTTACATATTTTTATTTCAAAATATATTACCACTGCTTGAATGTTTATGAAAGTAGGTATTATTCTTATTGATTGCTCTGAGTATTCTAAACACACTTATTTTCAACTTTTGTCAGATTGTTCAACAAAATTAATTTAATCTCCAAATGAAATAATGTCGCAGTTAATGCTTTGGTTGGTTATTTCTCATCAGTTGATTTCTGTGTGTATTTTGGAATTTGCCTTTGCTGGCTCGTTTTCAGTGAGAGGCTTTTGGTTTGGTTTTGCTTCTTTTGTTGTTGTTTTCGGTTCACCCTCCTCTGCCTAGTCATTTTGCAGTAACCCTTCAAGACCTGGTCTTACATAAGCATTGGAGGGCGCCTGCTCCTCCCTGTGTGACTGGGCATATTCAGTCACCGAACCGCCCAGGGTCTGGCTCATTTACTATTTTCTAGAGTGTCTTTTTCCTCCCATATTTGTAGGCTAGTGGTTGGCCTAAAGCCCCAGCACCGGCCAGTGGCTGTCGGCAGTTTATGTCAAGCCCCTTTCTGACCCAGGAAGCTCCGCTAGCCCTTGGTTTTAATGGACGAATGTGATTCGGCTGCTCTCTCATGGGAGCACTTCCAGTTCCTGGTCCCTGTAGGTCATGCACCCCTAGGACCTCTGCCACCTGCTTTAGGGCAGGAGCTCAGCATGTCCTGGCTTTGGTCCTGCTTACTGCTTGGTGTGCTTGTTCTTAGGGTCGTCCATCTAGTGTCTGAGCCCTGCCTTGTCCTTTTTGTTTCTCTCTCTCTTTTCTAATTCCCCCTTTTTGCCTTGTGCCAGCATGGGGCAGGGGCTGCATCTCGCCTTCGTACTTGTAAGTCAACTTGATTTATCTTTTTTACTTAGAATTATCTGGAGAAATAATATGCATGGACTTAGGAGTCACCTGTTCTAGCTATGTTTTCTAATAAATATTAAAAATCCCTAACAAATGAAAGATTTTTAATTCTTATGTATATTGCCCCAAATCATATTCTGTACCAAGACTGCTCACATCGAATGTGTACGTGAACCTTCCAGAGAGTCTGGGGTGGGGCCCCAGATTCTGCATTTCTAGTAAGCTCCCAGATGGTGCCAGCACGGGCTGCTGGGTGCTCCCCTGATGTCCTCCTGGCTCAGCCTGAGTTCCTCCCAGGGAGGGTGTGTGGCATGAGGCACAGACCCTGTGTTGTGCTCCAGACCGTTCTCCCTTCCATTTCTGCACCAGCCTATTGCTCAGATTTTTGTCCTAGACGCCGTATTTTTCTGGGACCATTTTATCCTCGGGGAGGAAGCTGCTTTATAAAAAATGTTGTCTGGTTGTTTGCCACACCAACTCAAGGCCCAGACATGCCTGAGTCCTGGATGATTAATGGGTTAGCTGGACCCCTGCTCTCTGATGTGTGTTCCTAACTCAGCTTTGTGCAGCTCAAGGCCAGAGACCCTTGGTTGTGTGGAATCTCATCCAACTGGCTGGAGAGACTCAGAAAATATGTGATACTTGCCAACCTGAATTTCTCATCAGTACCTTCCTACAGAAAATGTGCAGGGTATCAAAGTTTGAACACTTTATCTTTTATACGACCTATTTCAGAATTAGTAAGCGTCCACTTGAGCATCCAGAGGCCTTAGTCAGGGATGCTTCAGAAGAACATTTGGGTGGAAAACTCTGTGGGAAGGGGATGTGCCGCAGTAAAGGGAGAAGCTTCGGTGACTCTTTTAGCTCCCAGTACAGTATTCTATTTGGATTTGTTTAAATTCCTCTTCAAAGAGAGGTATCTTTCTGTGTATTTGAAAGCAGCTTCGTCTTGCAGAATTTAAATCACCACAGTGCTGTGTTTCTGTGAAATAAGCCAGTGGCAATTGAGGAGTAGTGAGTCGTTCACGGTCCTGAGTTGCAATTTGAAATTCAGAGGCATCTTTCCCGTCTCCATCAATCTGCAGTGGGCCCTAAGGACAAGCCATCTTGAAAAAGTGAGTCAAGAACTTTTTCCCCCAACGTTCGGGAAATGAGTTTGGCTCTTTATCCTTTTCACTCTTATCTAATGGTGAGAGTTGCTGTGAAGCAAGAGGCCTGGGCTTTTCTTAACGAATTTCACACCATTCAGTATTTAGCTGGCATGTGGATGCCATCAGCTATAAAGTCCATTCTAAAATGAACTAGGTACATCTGGAATTAGCAGCGGTTTGTGTTCTCTTGGATACATTCTCCCCTAGGTTTTCCTTGGATGGAAGCCATGACTGGTGTTTTATGTGAATGGTGCTCTGGAATTCAGAAACCCAATCCTACCTGTGCAACTGAGTGGTTCTCAGATTTTACTGTTAGAATTCGGAACACCGGAAAACAGACAGAAAAATAACAGCATCAGGCCACGAGCAAAGAATCTAATCGCCCAGGGAACTTGATTCAAATGTCGAACCCAGGACCAACCTGGGGATTCTGATGTAGCTGTCGGCATGGAGCCCAGGAACATGGATTTGTAAAACCCCCCTCCCCCCACCCTAACCCAGGTGATGTGCAGATCGCCCTTTGATGACCCTCAGCGTCCAGAGAGGACTTCAGTGGCTCAGCCTTCCATTTGCAAACCCTCGTCCTCTGCTGTGCATAAAACCCTTTAAATGAGAAGTTGGTCCAGAGCCTGGTGGTCCAATTCTGCAGCCTCCCTCTGTGTCTCCTTTCCAAGTCGCTGTGTCCTCCCTGCCTTGGTTTCCACTATTATACAGTATATCATGCATAATACCTGCCATTTGAGAAGATTGTCCAGTAAATAAACTCATGCCAGTGAGAGAAATGGAGAAGTTTTGATGAGACAACAACTGGGATTTTATAGAAAAGAAAGCATTGTGACAAATAGCGCTTCTCTGAGATTTTCAAAGTGGCCTGGTGTTATGACAAAAGAGGAAGATGTCACATATGGAGGGAATTAGCCTCCAGAGAGCTGGCATTTGTTTTTCTTCTTCACTGTGAACCAGAATTGGGTGTACTTCTCTGAGAATCTTGCAATTTTGACAAAATTTGGGGACTAAGAGCCAAGTGAATCCCGAGGGAGCGGAGGGGCTATAGGTTTCGGGTGCCCATGAAGGTTCCCCTTTGTGTGGCTTCTTTTCCTAAAGGCCACTGTGGTCGACAGAGGAGTGTTGTGTTCAGTGCTGCACCACTCTGATCCGAGGGGTCATGCAGCTCGGCAAGTTCCTTAGTGGGTGCTAAAAAGTGCTTCATGCCTTGGGACAGGAAAAGCCCTCAGAATGCACTTTCGTATTTGTGAGCCCTCTGAGGGAGTGTGCCCCTGAGCAGATCCTGTGAGGTCACAGCCGCACACCCGGCAGCCTCGGGAGCTCCGCTCTGCACCACCAGCTCCCCACGGTGCCCGGGCATCACAGACCACCATGGAACAGACCCCAGGGGCTGGGGCAAAGGCGGTCATACTTTCCCTGGGAGGTAAATCTGATTTATTTTCCACCCTGTGAAAATATCAGGAAAGGATGGTTTCATTTGCCACTTTTTAGTTAAAAATATAAGGACCATTTTAAAAACGCACATTTCCTAGCATGGCTCAGCATTCAACAGTTTTGCACCTAAAATGATAATGCAACGTTTCTTATAAGAACTCAGTGGGATGAGTTCACAGCACACCATTAGAGGGAATTATGTAAAGTGGCCTCTCTGTTCCAAGTTTTATTTTAAGATTTAATGTATTCCAGATTCTGCAGGAAAAAAAACCCATCCATGTGACAAGCCTGCTAACAGATGTCAGTTTAGTTTTATAGCACATGCCTGCACTTCAGACCCAGAAAAGGGAGATTATTCTTTTTTGCCTGCTGTTTATTACATGACACAGCTTCCTAATGCTGTGCCCAGAGGATAGCTGATTAATAATTGGTGGGCAAGCAACTTATCACCTGCTTTCATCTTCTGCAGTGCTGAGTGTAAGCTTTATTTCACATTAGCCTTTTGAATTACAAGAGGTGCTGGAAAGAGCAAAGGTGCCAGATTTTTCTGTGTTAATATCACCTAGGCCAGAAGACAGACTATACTGTTTTGAAAAGAAATAAGTAAAAATGATTCCACTAGATAGAACTAAATTTGCATTAAAATTTTTGTGGTCTTAGGGGAGCAAGCTTTATCTCCGTCTTTGTGCATGTTCCGTCTTTACTCGTGGGCTAAATCGGCAAAGTGAGCCACAGCAACTTGGATGGGAACAATGACTTTGACGAGCAGTTGCGAATGCGAGAATTGTATGAAAACACCAAGGATGGAGACACCCAGAAAGATCCCCTGTAGAGAAACCAAGTCTTTCAGGCAAGTCTTTCAGGCAGCCGCCAGATGACATCTGCTACGAATGGGACCTGGACAAGAAAGAAGTCTTGTTTCTCCAAGATCACTGAGCATTTCACTGCTACACATCAGGCCAATTGTGGCTTTTCTAGTGATGGAGCGTCAAGCTCTGCTGCAAATGTACAAGATGTTAGTGCTAGGCTTGCAGAGGAACCACCACAAAGAAAAGTCCCTGAACCCACTGATCCCCAAAAAGAAAAAGACAGTGAATCAGATGGTTTCATACACAAAAAGTACAAATGTTACTTGCCTTTGGACATTATAATGCACAAATTTATATAGCTCAGATCCAGGTTTGGCATTATTATGAGAGATCCTCAAACAGAAGAATTTAAGGTCAAGTTTTACAAAGATAATGAAGGAAATCTAAAAGGAGATGGGATTTACTGTTATTTGAAGATGGAATCTGTGGATCTCACATTAAAACTTTTGGATGAAGTTGAAATTAGAGGCTACAGATTGCATGTTGAGTTAGCAAAGTTTCAACTGAAGGGGATGAGGGAATATGGTGCCTTTAAGAGAAAGAAGAATTGTAAGGACTGCAAGAAAAAGCTGTCTCAGCAACAAAAGCATTTGGATTGGAGACCTGAGAGAAGGGATGGGCCATCCCAAATGCATTGTGAGTGAGTGGTCATCATTGAAAATATGTTTCATCCTGTGGATTTTGAGGGTGATCCATTGGTGCTGAATGAGATCAGAGATCTTCGAGTAGAGTGTTCAGAGTCTGAACACATTAGGAAGCTCCTTCTTTCTGATAGACACCCAGATGGTATGACCTCTGTGTCCTTCAGGAATCCAGAAGATTATTGTATTCAAACCTTTGATGGACAGTGGTTTGGTGGCCACCAAATCCCTGCCCGAGCATGGGATGGAACTAGCGATTTTCAGGTGGAAGAGACCATAAGTGAAAGGGAGGAAAGTCTGAAAGAATGGGTGGCTTTCCTCAGTACTCCTGAGGCCACTAAAGGTCTTCAGTGTTCAGATTCCATGTGTGCTTCAGAAAGGGCAGGGCCTTCCACCAGGGGTGTCAAACTCATTTTCACCGGGGGCCACATCAGCCTCACAGTTGCCTTCAAAAGGCCGAAATAATTTTAGGACTGTGTAAATGTAACTACTCCTTAAGTGTTAAGGAGTTGAAATTATATTTAGTCTAGAATCTAGACCAAAATGTTTTTTAGAGCACCCTAGCACATCTACAGTGAATGCTCAAGAAGCTGCAGCTGAAGTGGAATTCGAAGAACCTATAATACAAGTAAACTGGATACTTGTCCTCTGTCAGATTTATTAAATGCATGCAGAATACTTTTAAAGTATTCTGATTGAATTTTGTGATATCCAAAAATAAAAATAAGTTGTTAATATGCAGAAACTGAAAAAATATTCTGTGGTATTGGTAGATAAAACAAAGTAATTCTATATGATAAATAGTGTATCAAAATCAACTGTAAAAATAACTCTCCTTCAAATTACAGGGCCCTTTTCTCTTGTTCACATGGCATGGTAATGATTGGTTTATATGTTGCACTTCTGTTCACATTCCCACCTGTATGTCCAGTCAGTCCATCCATCCGTCCATCTAATAAATATTTACTAAGCATATTCTGTATGCAAGGACCTGTACTTAAATAATAAAGGTACAGAGATAAACAAGTTTCTTTTTAATTAAAATTTTTAATTGTGGTAAAATATACATAACATAAAATCTGCCTTCTTAACCATTTGTAAGCATATAGTTAAGTAGTGTTATGTACAGTCACACTGTTGTTCATCTGATCTCTAGAACATCTCCTTGCAAAACTGAAACTCTATGTACATTAAACACTAATTCCTCTCTTCCCCCCAGCCCTTGGCAACTGCATTCCAGTTTCTGTTTTAGTGAATTTGACTGCCATAGGGACTTCATATAGTTTGAATTGTGTAGTATTTGTCTTTTTGTGACAGGCTTTTTCTTTTTTCAAAAAAAGATTTTATTTATTGATTTTTAGAGAGAGGAGAAGGGAAGGAGAGAGAGGGAGAAAGATCAATGTGTAAGAGAATCATCAGTTGCCTCTCACATGCCCCTAACTGGGGAACCCAGCCTGCAACTCAGGCATGTGCCCTGAACAGGAATTGAACCAGTGACATCCAGATTGCAAACTGGTGCTCAGTCCACTGAGCCACACCAATCAGGCTTATTTCACTTAACATAAGGTCCTCAAAGTTCATTCATGTTGTAGCATGCGATAGGATTTCCTTCCTTTTTAAAGCTGAATAATATTCCCTTATAGATATAGACCACATTTTATCTATTCATCTGTCAGTGAACAACTGGGTTGCTTCCACCTCTTGCCTGTTGTGAGTAACGCTGCTGTGAGACGAGGTGCAGATGGTTTTCCAAACTCTGCTTTTAGGCATTTTGCATATAGACCCAGAAGTGAAATTGGTAGATCCAATGGTAACTCTATTTTTTAAAAGAAACTCCCATGCAGTTTTTCATAGTGGCTGTACTATTCTACATTCCCATAAACAAGCCTCTGAAGATTTAACATATTGCTAAAAACACAGAAATGTGATTCTGTAATGAGTGCTACACAGAAGAAATACCATGTGCTATGGGAGTGTTTAGCAGAGAAATTCAACCTAACATGCCGTTTATTTTTGTATTCTTGATGCCCAGTCCATAGCGAGGACCCTGTAAGTGTTTAGTGGGTGGGCGGGTGAGCCATGCAGACCCTTGCTGGTTAGACCCCTTTCTGTGGATTCCTTCCTGCCCTTCAGCTGCCCTTCATTCTCCAACGATGGCTTGGGAGAGCAGCGGGAGTATTTGTTAACAGGTGACTAGCTTTTCCTTGGTCGCCTGTGTTGATCTCTGGTGAGATTATGGAAAACATTTCCCCAGTAATGGACTTTTCCTAATTCTGAATATCATCTCATATTCAGAGATGTTGAGATAGTTCCACCAGCTATGTTTCTGTCTTTTCTTTGGGGGAGAAAAAAAGAAAGTTGCCTGTGGATATAAGATGAAGGTGGAGTGATGTTAGGGAGTGGTGGGTGTTCAGGAGAAAATGTCCTTTCTATTCTCAGAACACCGCCTCTATTCCCTGGGGAATTTGGTTCTATAAAGATAGCAAAAGAGCTTCATTCTCATTTGGCTCAAACAGTCACATTTCGCTCCATTCTATTCTATTTATAGATATTTAAAATTAAAATTTCATTCTTGAGATTTTAAAAGGAATTTCAGGTATTTAAAATGCATAAGCATTAAATTTGGAGGCTTAAATGTCTTGTTTCTTTCTTTTTTTTAAGGAATCTGTTTACCTGATCCCCAAACCAATGAGAGACATTGTTATTATTCTGTCCAGTGTTTGATTTTGCACGGCTCTTTGCTTTTATTTGGCACAGCTCTTTGCTTAGAAATTTGAAATGGTTTGGCTGTTTGCCACAGCATTATTACTCTGAGGAGCCTGAGAGATGGAGTTCTCCGTCTGAAACGAGTCTTGAGGGTTTCTCCCAGTCGCTCTGATCATGGTACTGGCACAGAAAACGATGGTGATGACATTTTCAGAAGGCTGTTTAGGGGTCGGTGGCAAAATTAGGCTGTGCTGCTCAGTGGAAAGGTCACAGGCTCTCAGCCTACACAACCCTAGTGCCAGCTTTATCTCCTGTTAGTGGTGTGAATAGCACAGGTGAATGAAGCTCTTTGAGGCACATTTTATTTTTCCATAAAAATGGAGGCAATAACACCTTCTGTGCAAGACCGTTGGGATTAAAGACAGAGAGGTCTGTACGGAAACCGGCACAGTGCCCGGCAGGTTGCTCCCCATTTGGAAGCTGTTTATTAAACAGTTGTTGGGTTGGCTTGGCTTGGATTGTTTTAGGCCAATATTTTAATACTTGCCATGGAATATTTAGGCATGGACCATTTGGCATGTTTTATTGCTCTCTGCTTTCTTAGTGACAGTAGGAATTTTCCAACAGGTCAACCATTTACTCCAGAAACTGTTAGAGAATCAGCATTATTCTGGGATGGGTTTGGCAGTGTCTACAAAGCAGCAGTGCAAACCTGATGTCCAGACACCCTTTCAATGTCCTTGGGATCAGTCTTTCTTCAGCGACAACCATGACTATAATTGGTGTGCATTTCAGGTAGTCTACCTGCTTCATGGAATTGGTAGAAATCTTGAAATCCAGTCATCTTTCCCATGTCCATCTCTTGGGCATGAGTCCTTAGCATCGCACAGGCTTGCTAAGTACGTTGTTGTGCAATAATCTGTGTGGTGAGTAGTGATGCCTTTGAAGGTATTTTATGTAACAATGTTTCTCTAATGCTTTTCACTACATTTGCCTTATGACACTATTTCCTGTGGGTTGAGTATCCTCTCTCTGAAACTGCCTGCTAAGATAATTTTGACTCTTTTTTGAGACACATCAAATGTAATCCTAACTGCTAAATGCCTAGGAATATTCTGGATAACTAACCTATCTGTCAAAGAGCTGCAGTTGCCCACCCCTGCCCCTACTGTTCCTCTCCTGGGTACCTGCTGTGTCAGGTACCAACACCTCCGTGGGGCAAGGTCTCAATTCTGTTTTCCAACCTCTTTCTTTTCCACCACTTTCCTATAGATATTCTATGTTCTAACCTAACTAGGCCATTTTATTTCCAACTTGTCTAGGGAATTTCTCATTCCTTGCAGCTTTAGTCACAATTCTTTTCATTGCTAGTATTTTCTCTGTAACTGAACAAGTCAAAATTTCACCTTTCTTCCAAGTATTGTTACCAAAGGATGTCTCATCCACAAAGCTGTTCTTAAACAATTTATTTTAATTTTTTAATTACATAAACGATGTATGTTCACTGTAGAAAATTTAGATAATAGAGAACCCAGAAAGTAAAAGGAAGAAAATTAAGATTGCCTGTAATTCTACCATTTAGATAACTACTAGTTATAGATGTGGTTTCTCCTTTCAGACTCTTCTGCCCTGTGGCACATGTATTTTAACTAACTTAAAGTGGGATCGCCCTGGGTATGCTATTTTATCATCTGCCCTTTTTTGTTAGCTTTATATTTTAGAGCCCTTTTAGGTTCTAGTCTGAGAGGAAGGTTCAGAGATTTCCCATACACCCTCTGCCCCTCACATTCACAGCCTCCCCCACTGACGACATCCCCGCCAGTGTGGTACCTCGTTACAAATGATGGACCTGCATGGACTCACCACAGTCACCCAAAGTCCATGTTAACTGTGTTCTGTATAGTGCACCCATATGTAATATATATATAAGCATATGTATGTGTATGCATAATCAAGTACATTGTTGATACTACCTTGGATATTTATCTGTTAGATCAATTAAGAAGAAAGAGGAATAAGAAAAATAAGTTTTTGTTTTACTTTCACTTATTTCTTCTTCAGTGCTCTTCTATTTAATCAAGTTTCTGTCCTATATTATTTTTATTCCCTCTAAGGAACTTCTTTGAACATTTCTTGCAAGCCAGGTGTATTGGCAGCATATTCCCTCACCTTCTGTTTGTCTAAAAAAGTTGTATTTCTCCTTCACTTTTTCATTATTACCACCAGAAGACATGTTTATTGATTTTAGAAAGAGGGGAAGGGAGGGAGAGAAAGAGAGAAACATCGACGTGAGAGAGAAGCATCGATCAGTTGTCTTCTGTACATGCCCTGACCAGGACCAAACCTGCAACCTAGGTTTGTGCCCTGACTGGGAATCGAACACACTATCTTTTGCTTTATGGGACAACACTCCAACCAACTGAGCCACACCAGCCAGGGCTCTCCTTCAGTTTTGATGGATAATTTTGCAGGGTATAGAATTCAGGTCAGGGTTGTGGTGGAGGTGGAAGTAGCGGTGGCGGTGGTAGTGGAAAAAAAAAGAATTCAGGTCAGTGGTCTTTATCTCTCAACACGTTGAACGTTTCACTCCACTGTCTTTTTCCTTGCATGGTGTTTGAAGAGAGGTAAGGATATAGTTTTTACCCTTCTTCCTCTTCAGTGAAGGTGTTTTTTGTCCTCTGGCTTCTTCAGGATTTTTTTCTGTATCTTTAATTTTTAATAGTTTGAAAATGGTATGCCTAGGTATAGATTTGTTTGTTTGTTTTGTTTTTATCCTGCCTGATGTTTTCTAGGCTTCCTTTCTCTGTGGCTTTCTGTCTAACATTAATTTGGGGGAAATTCTCCGTCATTATTATTTCAAATACCTCTTCTATTTCTTTCTCTCTTCTTCTGGTTTTCCCATTACGTGTATATTATACATTT